TCATAGTTCAGAGGGGAGATTCTGGAGATGACTTTAAGAGAGACTTCATGGTCTTGACTGTTTCGTGCATGATGAGGGGATTTCAGAACCGCTACTGCAACAACAGAATCCTCAACTCCTTGATTAATGTTGATGAGATAAAGGAGTACAACTGGTGTGGCTACACCTACAACTCTCTGATCAAGTCCATCGAGCAGTACAGGAAGAAAAGTAATAGCTTCTTTACTGGACCAATGACATTCATATTGGTAAGCTCTAGCTCCACTTATGAATCTTATGATATTCAGATTGTAGATTATATGTGTTAGATTATGAATTTTCCTCTATGTGATTATGAATTTTTCTCTATGTGATTATGAACTTTCCTCTATGTCAGATTATGAATCTTCCTTTATCTGATTATGAATTTTCCTTTATGTGATTATGAGTTTTCCTATATGTGATTATGAATTTAGAGTATGTGCTTATGTATTTTATGCTATTCAGATTTTATGAGAATTATGTGTCAGATTATGAATTTTCCTTTGCCAGTTTATGAACTTTCATTTACCAGTTTATGAACTTTCCTTTACCAGTTTATGAATTTTCCTCTATGTGATTATGAATTTTCCTCTATGTCTCAGATTATGAATCTTCCTTTATCCGATTATGAATCTTCCTTTATGTGATTATGAATGTTCCTTTATGTAATTATGAATTTTCCTTGTTATCATTATGAATGTTCTTATAGTATTATGCAATAATGAATCTCATAATAGAAAGTTCATAATTGCATAACATAAAATCCATAATATGATAGTTGAATATAATGTTCATATGGATTATGAATTTTCTATTATGATATTATGAATTTTCTGTAGTGTAATTATGAATTCTGTGATTATAACTTTTTATTTTACCTTTTTGTTCAACATTGTAGCTATTCTACTTTGATCGGGTCCAATTCAAAGGAATGAGCATTCAAAGAACATATCCAAGCATTACTGCATGGACAAGTAAACTTGCACGGCAAAGGGTTTCCGCTGAGAAAAGGTCGGGCGGATATGGTAAAGGGAAAGTTATCCCTCGTATTGCAAAGCCTACTGCTGATTGTATCGCTTCTACTTCCGCCCAACCAGTCCCAACCATCTCTGTGCCGCCGTCTAGTGTTGATAGGGTCACGCGGGTTCTACAACGCCTTGCTGCTGATGTCTTGGAATTCGGTGAGGCTATGGCTGAAGTTGGCAGACAAAACGCACCGGTGGATGTTATGAAGGCCGCATTTTCTGGAATTTCCACCATGATTGGCGTTGCAAGCACAATAGAAAGACCACCAACTCCAACCTCCTCTCAACTAGACGACATCTTCTTTGGCCAAGAGTCTTTCACAAAGGCTGTTGATGCCTTGGTTGAAGCCTTCCATAAGACCAATCGGCAAATGGAGATTGACCCTCCCTCATTTGATTTAGGGATCTCTTATACCCCGGCACCATTGGTTGATGAACCACGTGAGCAAAGTGCAATGGATGAAGATGAATTGGATGCCCTTGTTGAGAACATTGTGAAAGACACTCCCGGTGCTGCTGATGCTGCTACACTCTCCACTACTCCTACCGCTATCCCTGCTACAACCCCTGCTGATACGCTTGGTGCTACGGCTGTTTCTTCCCTGCTGCTTTCCCTGCTCCTACGCATGTTCCTACCACTGCTGCTACCCCTACTGCTTCATCTTCTGAAGCATATGCTGCTACCCCTGCTACATCAAGTTCTGAAAGACGAGAAATAACTCCATTGATCAAGGTTCCATTCGCCAGAGATGTCCCTGATGCTGCTAATACTTTCTACGCCTGCTGCTACACTACCTGCTACCCTCGACGATATTGATAGGTAAACTAATTAGAATATGAAATTGTGTTATGAACTTTCTGATATTATATTATGACTTTTCTCTGAAATATTATTAATTTTCACATATGAGATTATGAGTTTTCTATTATGAGTATTAAATTACATTTTTGATATTATGAACTTTCTGATATGCAGTTATGTATTTTCTGTTCTGTATTTATGAATTTTATGTACTGCAGTTATGAACTTTCTAACCTGAAATTGTGCAACTATGATGATATTAACTATCTTCGTGTGTTTACAGTGCATTTCTGGACAGTGAATCTGATGTCGAGGATGTCACCAGGCGAAAGAGACCAGTCCGGAAATACAAAAAACATCCCGTTAAACTTGAGATCACCTTTTTGGACAAAGAATGTGCCATTTGTCCATAATGCCAGTGTGACCGAGAGGGCCGTATCAAACTACGCCTTCATGGATGTTTCTACAGATCATCCAGTGGAGTATGTTTGACTCTAACCATTTAGAAAACTTTTTATTTTCATTTATATTTCACATTTACAACCATATATTAATTTATTTACCTATTTATCAAAATTTTTTGTTCATGTAGTGAAACTCTGTTTATCTTTGATGATTTCTCAATGACAAGAGGAGATTTCCACACCCTCCGAAGCGGGTGAAATTTTTAACACATTCATAGATGTATGGGCGTTGAGGCTTACACTCCTCAACACAAAACGGGCGTTGGGGAAGCCAAAGTGCATCTATTTTAGCACGTTGGTACATGTAAGTTAATAACAACAATTTTTACTCTGCTCACTTCTGAATCTCCTGTTAAACCATTCTGTATTTTATGTCATGTAAATATGTATTTTATATTTGTGATTATGAATTTTCTATTGTGAGTTTATAAAGATACATTTTTGATATTATGAACTTTCTGATGTGAGATTATGTATTTTCTGTGTGAAATTATGAATTTCCCATATGGCATTATGAATTTTCTATTTGTGAGTTATGAAATTACAACTTTGATATTATGAATTTTCAGTTCTGTGGTTATGTATTTTCTTTGTAATATTATGGATTTTAAGTATTTTCTGTGTGTGATTATGAATTTTCTCATATCATATTATGAATTTTCTATTGTGAGTTTATGAAGTTACATTTTTGATATTATGAACTTTCTAATGTGAGATTATGAATTTTCCCATATGGCATTATGAATTTTCTATTGTGAGTTATGAAATTACAACTTTGATATTATGAATTTTCTGTTTTGTTGTTATGTATTTTCTTTGTAATATTATGGATTTTATGTTATGATATCATGAATTACGTATGACTGCCATTACATATTGCACAACTTATCATTGATACGTATTTTTTTCCCCTTAGCTTCAACTCGACCCATCTGAACAGTGGATGAAGAATCTTCCGCTTCAAAAGCGGAAGGATAATTTCAATGAGCGATTACAGTATGAGATTTCAAAATTTGAAAATCTTGATGTCAATGATGCTGATTTGGTAATTTATAATTACCCACCTTCAACATTTATTCATTAATTACATATTTCTTCTCTATTCTAACTACTTCTTTTGATGTTAGCTATTTTTCCCCGTGCTTCGACACGATCACTACTTTGTTCTATGCATCAACACCATCTCAAAAAGTGTTGAAATCATTGACAACAAGATGTTGCCGAAGGGTGTTACTGAAGCTGACAAGTATGAAGATTGCCCAAATCTACTGGTAACTTAACCTTAAACTTGACCTTTCAAACGTTTGTTATACATTTCATGTGAATCATAATCACACTAGTTTCATTTTTGTCCAGATGAATGCTTTGAAAGAGTACTTGACTGCAGAAAAATCCCCCTACTCCGTAAGATACAAAACCTTCCTGTATCATACTTGGCCATTCCTTGGAAGGAGCTTGACAATGTCATTGATTGTGGCATATATGTCATGCGACACATGGAGTCCTACAAGGGGAATGTTCAAGATTGGGACAGTGGATTCAAGATAGGCACCCATGTAAACGTAAGAGTATAAGATATATTAATTTCAACTTAGATTTGCTTTTTTTTTTTTTTTTGTTTTGTTTTTTAACATCTTTTTTTTTTTTTTTTTTTTTTGAAGGCTGACTTCATTTGGGAGCTTAGAGCTAAATACGCATCAAACATTATCACATGGGGTAGGAACACTGAAAGATTGCGAGTTACGAAGGCAGCCAAGGATCTCTCAAAGAAGAAGTGAAACTATACCGCTTTTTGGTGTTTGAATATGTTGTGAACATGAAGCAAATCTTGACTGTTGATATTTTGTAATGTGCACAGATATTTTGCACCTATGAATACACAATCTATTGCTCTTAGTTCAGATTACATGTGGATCATGTAGAGTTTATGAATTTTCAACTACCATATTATGAATTTTCTATTATGCAATTATGAACTTTCTTTTATGAGATTATGAATGTATACGTGTTAGCTATAACTGAAATTCATTGTTACATAGATTAAAATAACATTCATAATGACAACAAGGAAAATTCATAATCACATAAAGTAACATCCATAATCAAATAACGGAAAATTCATAATCTGACACATAATTCTCATAAAATCTGAATAGCATAAAATACATAAGCACGTACTCTAAATTCATAATCACATATGGGAAAATTCATAATCACATAAAGGAAAATTCATAATCAGATAAAGGAAGATTCATAATCTGAGACATAGAGGAAACTTCATAATCACATAGAGGAAAATTCATAAACTGGTAAAGGAAAGTTCATAAACTGGTAAATGAAAGTTCATAAACTGGCAAAAGGAAAATTCATAATCTGACACATAATTCTCATAAAATCTGAATAGCATAAAATACATAAGCACATACTCTAAATTCATAATCACATATAGGAAAATTCATAATCACATAAAGGAAGATTCATAATCAGATAAAGGAAGATTCATAATCTGAGACATAGAGGAAAATTTATAATCACATAGAGGAAAATTCATAAACTGGTAAAGGAAAGTTCATAAACTGGTAAATGAAAGTTCATAAACTGGCAAAGGAAAATTCATAATCTGACACATAATTCTCAACCTATATCTAAAAATCATAAAATTCATAAGTACATACTGTTAACATGATCTCAGTCTATAGCTACATCGTGGTCTACATTCTTATTAAAATGAACAAATTGTGAACCCCCGGTGCTTGGATGTACAAGATATCCATCACGAGCAATCTCTGAAATATTTTCCAAGACCAATGATTGGACAGAGCCCTTTGTAATTGAAGCAAGCTTGTTTGCAGCGCTCTTTCTTCCCCTTGCTGCATTGTACTTCTTCTCAATAACACTACTACTCCTTTTATTTCTCACACCTTTACCCCTCCGGCTTGAGGGGTCTTGGACAATACCACTTGACGAAGACACAGCACCCTCCTCAGTGTTCACATCCCCAATCTCAGCTTCAATGTTTTTCCTTGCATTCTCAACGGCTTCATCACATAATTGTCTAGCAACACTGTTATCTTGGCTAGAAACAATAAGCCTTTGAAATTTCCTACTAATCTCAACAGCCCAAATTGAAGAAGGGACACCACCATTATAAAACACAGATGCAATGTCCACGTTTGTACGCTCAACAGCCTTTTTAGTCCATCTTTTTAGAATGTATTTATCGGGAATACTGGAAACACAGTGCACATGAAGTATACGTAAGCAGTGGCAGCAAAGTATTCCCAATTCTGAAAACAGCTTGCAACTACAACATATATCCAAATTGATTGCCTTAAAGGTTACTTCATGCCTTATGATATCTATGTCTGGTCGCCACACGTGATACTTGCACTTACAACCATCGTTCAACACCATTTCTTGATAACAAGAGCTACCTTTCATAAATTGTTCCTCGAACAAAAAATATATCTCAATTGTATAAACCTCTCTAGCATGTGAAAGGAGTTTCACATGATCCAACATCATGGCGGGTACTCCTTGAGAACACCGAAAATCCTCGCCATTTTCCTTACTTCTCCATTCAGATATAACACTCACAAATGATGAATAAAAATCACATAAACCAGCAGTCTTGGACAGCCTCCTAGAAATTGCATGATTTGTGCTTTCACTCCTTTGCGAAGATAAAATACCCCCGGAGAAATAATCCTTGTTGAACGCTGGACACCACTTCTCCCTACAGTCATAAAGCTTCTCTAGCCATGTATTCTTATGACAATTATATTTTGTAACCATCCTGAAAAGGTTAAAACACATGTTTATTACACATATTCTGAAAATTCATAATCTCATATTACAAAGTTCATAATCATGTAACAGAAAATACATAATGACATAACAGAAAATACATAATTGAATACTGTGAATTCATAATCTCATATTACAAAGTTCATAAATCATATAACAGAAAATACATAATGACATAACAGAAAATACATAATGACATAACAGGAAATCCAGAATTGTATAACTGTGAATTCATAATCTCATATTAGAAAATTCATAAATCATATAACAGAAAATACATAATGACATAACAGAAAATCCATAATGACATGACAGAAAATTCAGAATTATATAATGTAAATTCATAATAACATACCTTGTCCAGTAAACCTCAAATTCAGCTTCAGTCTCGGTGTATTTCAACACACAATTAAACATATCCAGAAAATCCTTATGATTCCTCAATGCCTTAATATGCTTCTTCGAATTCTCACCAATATGCCATATGCAAAGACGGTGGCGTGATGTAGGAAACACCATGGAAATGCCAGCAGCCATAGCTGAACATTGATCCGTCATGATAGTCTGTGGACACTTGCCATCCATGGATCTTAAAAACGCTCTAAACAACCACGCAAATGACTCTATCCTCTCATTCATCAAAAAACCACAACCAAACATTACATTCATGCAATGATGGTTCATCCCTACAAAAGGACCACAAATCATATCATATTTGTTAGTGCGGTATGTTGTATCATGCACTAACAGATCACCAAACACCTCATAATCCCTTCTCATTTGACCATCCCTCCAAAAAAAACTACACAATCTTCCATCCAAATCAACTTCGAAATCAAAAAAGAAATCAGCCTCATTAGATTGCCTCCTCCTGAATATCTCAACCAAAGAATTTGAATCCGATCCATCCAAACACTTCAAACTCACAGAAGCCATTGAATTGTAAGCATCGCGGTTGGTAAAGCCAACCAATGGAGAGCCCCCTGACTGATGTTTCAAAAACCTCATACCATCCGCCAATGCAACACCACTACTCTTCATGTCTTTTAAATATTCAAGCTGATTGTTTCCCACTCTTCTATGCGACCGAAGCAGATGACTCTTGCCAAATGAACATAACTCGTGATTGTGCTCTTTCAAGTGTTTTGTAACTGTCCACATCCCATCACCCCCCACATCAAACTGAACAAATGCACCACATCCAGTCCTCATATCAATCTTTGAATAAAGCTTAACACCACTGTTTGGTTTCTGCTTATACCCAGCCTTAGCACAGAAGAACCTCTTCATCTGAATTGACTTAGTAGATGCCTTATAACGTTGTTGGCCTTTCCTCACACTAAAACCAACTCTGTATGCATATCCATTATATAACTCAAAAGCTTCGTCAACATTTCTTACTACAACACCCACCAAGTCTTCATCAACTGCAATTGCAACAAAAATATAACCACACCTATACCAACTACTAAACTATGAATGTGGATTTCACCTATAATGAATGTAATATGCTACACTATAGAATTCATAATCTCATGTGAGAACATTCATAATCACAAAGAATAAAATTCATAACATCATATAAGAAAGTTCATAACAAAAACCGGATATCAATAACATTTGTGACATTATGAGCATTCAAAGTTGCATAGATACTCATGGCATTAAATGCATAACCTCATAACATAAAATTCATAACCTCATATGGAAAATTCATAATAACATAACGGAAAATTCATAACCTCAAACTGTAAATTCATAACGTGAACAGATTATTAATACCAATCACAACATTCAATTTGCATATAATCACCATGAATCAGTACCTACACCTACAAGAAACAACATTCATGATACACCAACTAATAAAAAGAACCTGGACTTGAAGACGAGCCATCAATGTCAATGTTTAACTCTGCTTGATCATTGCTTATTGAATCACCAACACAATCTTCATTCACTGAGTATATGCAAGCAGTGTAACACACCAGTTAATATGTTATGGACATATTACTATTACATTATGAATATTCATATCACATGCATGAACAGAGTATCAAAATTCATAACTCTGTAACAGAAAATACATAATTGCATTTTGTAAAATTCATAACAGAAACATGGAACTAATACACATTTACGGCCATTATGAACATTCAAACTGCATAGATACTGAACAAATATCAATAAAAATAACTAAATCTTCAACAATCCATGATCTCATAAATCAAACGAAATCAAACGCATAAAATCAAACGCAACCTGGAATCGCAGAAATCATATCGGTTGAATCTTCTCCTCGAACCATCGTCTCCTCCATCACGAATAGGAAAGAATCGCGAATGTCGGATCACAATTGCCTTCAGCGATTTGCGAATAGGAAATAATCAAACGCAAAGAGTTGTCTGATCATAACTGCCTTCCTAACGCCGTTAATAGAACAGTGTTTTTTTTTTTTTTTTTTTAAACGACGCCAAAAACGACGTCGTTTGGAAGCGTGTTCACCAAGCATGGTGAGCACGTTTCCACGGCATAATTTGCGTGAAGAAACAAATAGGAGTTGTTATGGCAATTTTTATTGTGAATCCGGTGGTAAATTATGGTCCACACAATATTATGTGGACCATAATAAAAAGTACATTTTTAATATATTAAATGTACATTATTTTTTTGTATTTTTATTATTAAAAGTGTGTGAATATATATATATATATATATATATATATATATATATATATATATATATATATATATATATATATATATATATATATATATATGGAGTGTTTGGTAAATAGTTGTTAACTGATTTGGTTAGTTGATAGCTTTAATTGATTCTAGAAATACGTGTGGTAAATTAGTTATTAGTTGATAATTGATTACATACAAAATTATTTTTTCAAAAAGCTAATTGAAAAAACTGTTTTGAGTAACTTTTTGAATTTTAGTGTTTTAGAGTAATAAGTTGTTACAAAAAACTAATTAATCAAATACTCATATTGGTTGTTTAACCAAGTCAAACAGTTAATAGTGGTCAAACAAGTCAAAATTGACTGATAGGCTAACTATTCTACCAAACAAAGTCATTGTGTTTCTAAGTCAAAACTGATAACACCTATATAAAGGAATTTGTGAATACAATAAAGGGTCATCCAATCTAATATGTTAATATTATGTAACTACAATATTTCAAAGGAATTTGTGAATACAAAACAAGATAAACACACACACACACATATTGTGTGTTCATAGAATCGTAGTATACAAATTGTGAATTTTTTAAAAGGTAAATTGTAAATATTTGGACCCGAGTCCACCTTGCAAGATGAACCCGGGTCCACATACGAATAATTGGCCAAACAAATAAAAGTCAAGCCGAACATACTCAAATCCAATCTTTATATCATGGACCATGGTTCACAGGGCACTATAGACCCTGATGTATATGTATGTGTTTTATGTTGTGAGTTTTTGTGTCTTATATTGGCCCTGTTTGGTAAAATGGATGTTAGCTGATAACTGTTAACTGTTAGCTAATTGTGTTAATTAGAGGGTATAAATAGTTGATAACATTGGCTGATTGTAGAAAAGTGTTTGGTAAATTAGCTGTTAGCTGATAGCTGTTTGGTATAATTTCTTTTCTCAAAAAGCTAATTGAAAAAGTTACTTGGAGTAGCTTTTTGAATTTTAGCCTTTTGGAGTTGCAAAAAGTTAATTAACCAAATATTTATATTGATATTTTAACTAAATCAAACAATTAATAGTGGTCAAATAAGCCAAAATTGGCCTATAGGCCAATTTTTTACCAAACAGGGGCATTATAAAATTATGTACCTTAAGATTTTGAATCGTGTACTTGAAACAAATTAATAATCGTGTCTTATGTTGTGAAATTTTGTGCTATAAACACAAATTATGTACCTAAATCAGATCTGACAAATAAGTAAATATATAACATATGTATATGCTATATGTTGTGAATTTTTTGTGTATTAAATTATAAAATTATGTACCTTACAAATATAAATTCTATACTTTGTTATTTCGATCCAAAATTCATAATATTATATGGACCCGTGTATGATATAAATTGCCATCAAAATCCACCTCATTTAATGAAGTCTACCACTAAATTTTCCTCACACCTTCCTTAACCGTTGCTGTAGAGATCTTTGACTTGGCAGATACAACCTTGACTACAGGCATTTCAATTCGTGTACGTAAACTCTGTAGGATTACTATGATATTTGTTCTTCGGCAGCTGTCAGTTGCGACGAATCTTCATACTAGACAGAGGATGATGTCGGTGTAAGCACAGAATTTGAATTGTGTATGGAAGAAATTCTCAAAATGATTATCTTATTATAATCTTTTTTTAAAAAAAATTGATCATATAACTTTTCATATTGTAAAACTATAAATTTAATTCTTAAGAACACAGTTCTGATTGAGACTATTATACAAAGTCTTTTTAGTAATGTTAACATATCATGTGTAGTTTGTGATTATTTCACAAATGTAATTATAAACCATTACACATATTTGGTTAGAACTAATACTTTGTGAAAACACGCACAATATATATATATATATATATATATATATATATATATATATATATATATATATATAGCACGATCAAATGAAAATATGATCATTTGTAAAAAGTAATGATTGATCTTAACTGTCCATTAAGATTCATTACTGGTTGAGGATTTTAGTAAAAAAAAAAAACACATGATCAATTTTATAATTATTGAAAATTTTTAAGAGTAAGATTCATTTTTTTTTTAAAGCAAAAAAAGCGAGATTTATTTTATAACTACTGCAAACTTGAAAATTTAGTAATAGTAAAATTTTAGTATTTGATTTCTCAAGATAATTGTTTAGATGTGTTTACGAACACTTGTTACAGGAGGGGATGTTGTCATCTGGACCTTCCTCCCCCCCCCTCTCTCTATATATATATATATATATATATATATATATATAAAGGAGTGGGCCAATCAAGACGTAAACATAAAAGCATGCTCATTTACTTTTAAGACGAGGGGACATGATAGATTAATTATCTCTTAAGATGTGAAATCTATTTTTGAAAAACAAACAACAAATCCCTAATCACATTTTGTTCTTATAATTAGACGATAAAACATCATTTTGGAATAACTAAGTCAAGTTAGTTAGATTTTTTTTGAATGTTTCTGTGTTACTAAAACACAAAGAACCAATAACGCCTCCACTGAAGCTCAAACTCGTAACTTTCCAAATGAAAGTCTAACCCAAGTATCATTAGACCACATAGTCTTGGTAAGTCAATTTAGTTAGATAATTAATTTAGTAATTATAAAATTTTAAATTTGATTTTTTATGAAAATTGTTTATGTTTTTTCAATTTAACCCCAAATAAGTGATATGAGCTTTTACAAATGAGAAATCAACTTTTCAAAATGTCCATTTACTTTTTGGAACAAAAGTCCCTAACTTTATAAGTCATCAAACAACACTACAAGACTAGAGAATCCACATATTCAATGCCGGTCCACAAAAGCTAACCTAGTGCCATCAATGTACCTAGCTAGATATATTTAGTGAATAAATGATACAATTTCACATCAACTCTTTTAGAAATGAAAGAACTTAATCGAGAAATATCAAATTGAAAAAAATTGAATTTGTAATTTTCTAGATACAAGAATCATGTTTCACTTGTTCAGTCATTTCTTTCGAGACTATAACGATAACTCTCTGTATAATTAAGAATTACCTTTTGCAACAAAGAAAATATTAACTATTTGAAAGTTCTAATTCGTATTATATATTAGTCATGACTTTGCAGAATACAATAAGTTTTAATGCAATTGCTTGCGACCTTATATTTATTTAGATCACAATATTTTAAATTGGATTCACAAACAAATATAAGTTTCAATACATTAAATTGGCTTCAAGTCAAGTTGGAGTCAAGAAGCCATGTATGTGGAGTTCAACGTACATATATACATCATGCATGATAAATGTTTGAATTGGTCAAAAATCAAATGTGTGCTTATTTGGACCGCTATTTTTATTTTTATTTTTATTTTTGCAAATTGTTCAAATTTAATTTCTGAAAGTGAACCTCTAATTTTGTTTCTTCATTATTCAAGGAATCGATTCATGTGAGAACATGTTTTTTTATTAAAAAAAAAAAAAAAGTGTATACAAAAGTACACCGCATAATACTACAAACTGCATATGAACAATGATATGTAAAAGTACACTAAAAAATATGCAAATTCTAAAAATTCATCACACGAAACTACAAAACGCATCCATTCTTCATCACTTGAACTTTTACATATCATAAGATGTACACGTTGTTGAGTACACTTTTATATATATCGTCAGATGCATTTTGTAGTTTTACACGATGCATGCCCATACTTTTATAAGAAGACATGTTTTTTTTTTTTTTAATTTAATTTGTTTCCTATATATATATACTATACCAAAACAAACATTAAGAGATTTTACATAATTACATGTACTCATCTTTTTAAATTTTGGTATTTGAAGAAAATAAAAATTGAATCTTTAATCCTAGCTTATCTGTTTTAAGCTCACTCAAAAACATTTTTTTTTCATAAATATAAATTTTATATCAAATGAAAAAACTGAAGAAAAAAAAATGGATAAAAAGTATTTCAAAAAATAAGTCAACAGTTTTATACCGATTTTCCTTGGTTATAATTTTCAAATTTCCTTTTTATAATTATTACCTTCAACTCTAAAGACTAGACTTGACTAAAGACTTTGAAAATATGACATTTATATCGATCATCAATTAGATTAGAAAAGTATGCATTACTAAATAAGAAAATATAATATTAGTCCTAATAATAGTGGAAATATATACTAGTATAGAGATAGAGAAGCAAATAGAAGACTTTTTCGATATAATTTTGTTTCTCTAAAGAGTAAAGAGTGGTTGGGTAGTTACAGTATAAGATTGGCAATTATTGAAGATAAATTGAAATGCAAAATTAAAGTTTGTGGAAAAATAGATGTAATTAACTTGAAAATAAAATAATAAGTTGAAAATCAATGAGACAGAAAAACGAAAAGAAGACTTTATCAATATAAAGTTTTTTTTTTTTCTTTTTCTGAAGAGTGGTTGGGTTATGGTCTAAGATTAGCATTGTTGAAGATAAAACAAAATGCAAAATTAAAATGTGTGGAAAAGTAGATGTAATTAAGTTGAAAATAAAATACTTAATAATAATTGCCCTAGTTGTAATTTAATAATGTCATATAGTAAGACTCCAGTGCTCCAGATGTTAATGGGACAAAATAAGCCAAGAAAAATTTCCTTGCACAACTTCATTATTGGATGATAGTATTTTGGGATCATTTAGATAATTTTTTAAAAACTTTAAAACTATTTTAGGATATTGATGATTTGATGCAAGTGAATGAAATTTAAGGATGTTGTGGCTACAATCTTCATTTTTTTTTGTGTGGATGTCACATGTGTTATTGTCATTTTGATACAGTACAAAGACTCCAAGGTGTATATTGGGCACACCCAGATATTTTGTGCAATGGGTTCAACTAAAAGGATGTTAATAATTATAATTAAATATGTTGTTCTTTAATATGATCGCCATGCTTCATCCGATTCCGATCATTATTTTAAATTGATTTACTTTGAAGTACTTATTTAAAAAATAAACATTGGACATTATTTCATTCGCGCAATGTGAAAAACTAGTATGTATATATAAACATAGTAAATGATATTTTTGGTATTATAATACAAAAGCTATTCCCGAGTACTTGGGAATAACTAATACCATCAGGTTCCTAGGAATGGCTACTATTCCCTTGCAAAATGAATAGCTTATTCATACGAATAAAAGTCAAGACAAACAATGAAATATGTTTATTCTCGATAATAGTATTCCATTCCTGACATATTCTATGAGTGAAATATGTTGTAAAAGAATTATATCTCCACTTAGGCATCATAGATCAGTATCTTTTCATGAATTTCCATTTGAAATAATTTATCCATATGAATTGGACTCGATCCAGACTTGACGAATCAGTCTATATATGCAAAATAAATAAATAAGCCCGGTAAGGGGAGACTGAGTGAGTAGAACAATAATATTATTCTCATATCAAAAGGTCACAAGTTCGATTATTGCCAACACTTTCTCGGTTGAGCCCATCACACATGATTTTCCTAATGAATTTACCTCTATTGTGTGGTTTGCATACTTTTACACAAGAGTATCGTTTATTCCATACACACTTTCGAATAGTAATTGCATATTTCTTTCATCACCCAAAATATATAAATAAATAAAATTTATCATGACTCTTTCCTCTCATTTTCCTTCTTCGTTAGGAGTCAAGGTGGCAAAGAAGCATTGTTAATTAGAAAATTAGTAAAGAGAGAAAACAATGTCACTTGTGTAACAAATACGAAATAATTGATATTTTAAATTAAACTCAAATAGTCAAAACTATGACATAAAAATTGACAAAGTCACGACATAAACAGCCCCATTAATTATTTTTTTAATTAAATTTTGTAAACTTTCCAATAATATTATCCGATAACGTTCATATTTCTTAAAAAGTCCATAACACTTTTTTTTTAAAAAAAAAACGTAACCCTACAAAACGAATACTTAAATTACAGTTTAGACATATAAGCCGAGAAATAAGATTTTACTTGAATCCTTCATTTAAATTAAGCTAATGTGGGGATTTTCATTCTTGTTGTTTATAAAATTAAAAAAAAAAATACCAAAAAAATTCGCATTGAGAGTGCATATTTACTATTTCATTATTTTTCAAATAAAATAAAATTTCACCATTTAAAATAAAAAATAAAAACAATAATAATGCTCAAATTAAAATACAATCCTCTTCTGCTCAATGCAGGGTCAAAATTGTTAGTGCGCGCAAGGGATTTGTCTACTTTAGATAATCCCCACACTGTACCTGTTGAGGTTCGAGCCTTAGCTTGGTCTCTTCTCTCAGATATTGTCTACTCAACCAGTGAGCTAATAAACCTGTGCGGGCAGTCAAAATACAATCTTGTCGAACCCGTTGCACGAGACTAGTTTTCCTAGTGTAATTACCTCTTTTGTATAATTTACGGGTTATTACACAAAAAATAAAGTTTATCCAATGCACATCCTCGAATAATACATATGACTTTCTCTCCTCATCTGAACATTGAAATAAATAAATAAAATATTACATGAATTAATTTCCACTAGAAAACAAACATTTTCCTAAAATTGAATATAATGCTATGATATTTCCAAGAACTTGCACCAATAGCCTACACCACAAGAGCTATATCCACATTTTGAACAGCCCACAGCATCCCCCAAATTATTGTCATCAAAAAGTCCATAGTCCACACCAAGTGTCATTTCCGTTTGAAATAATCTAGTTAAAAACCATACCTTCACTACTGGAAATTATGAAATTTCCGACCACCTGAAAGTGATGTTAAATTAAGTCGAAAGCCTTATTCCGACCACTTTTGGTATCAGGAAAAACCTTGATTGCTATTTTCGACCACTTTTTGATATCAACTTGATTTAAGATCACTTTCAAGTGGTCGAAAATCCCATAATTTCCAGTAGTGCTTTGTGATTTTTTGAAAATTTTATATTTTAATTGGAATATTTGCACTCATAAATTCAATTCATATGTTATAAATATCACCACTTTTAATTTTTGAGTTAAGTATAGAGTGACACTTTTAGACATTTTGTTAATGAGTTTCTGTAAATTTTCAATTAGTCTTTCGAATTTTTTACTTCTCATTTCCCCTCCCCTCCTCCTAATTAGTACTTTAACTCTACATTTTAATAGTTAAAAACGCAAATCATAGGCTTATATAGTTATATTACATTTTTAAAAAAAAATATTAGTTTAATGGAAGTCAACAATATACATTTTTAATCATTGAAACGTGATTATTTGAGTATGAGAAAATACATATAATATAAAAATTTATTATTAATTAGTTTTTATATATCACCCTCCAACTGAATGATTAAAAAAAAAAACACGATTCTCAAATTTAATTGTGTGTGTATCACTCTATCGTTCAATATGTTTGATGACTCACACATACAAGAGTACTTTCTTTTTTATTACCTTAGAAAGGATGTCGGAATAGCTAGGTGGAAGATAATTATCGTATTTGAATTGTTATGAATCTTTTCTACAAGAATTGTTATGAATCTAATTATTGCTATTTGCTAATATCCCCCAAAATTCTTTGTAAATATCCTCCTTAACGAACTCACAGGAACTTCCTAGCTAGTGCTTGGATCTTTCATTTCAACTTATTTTTCATTCACCCATAAAATCCATAATTAATTTAAATGAATTTTTAAAATGTTAAGAACAATACCAAAAATAACACAACATTCAAGGTTTGAGTTTGGGTTAAACTCTTTATATACAAAAATGTATAGTTTAGTGTTGAGATTCAAAACTTATTAACTCGATTTATCTCCTTATGGATCTTAGGAGAAATTCATAGAACCCATCGCATAGTTAGGTGCAGAAGAAATCTGGATTATCAAATACATGGACTATATCCACTATTATCTTATAACTCATAGACCAGAAGTGTAATAATTCACCAATTTTAAAATGTCAAAATCTTTTATTTTTATATTCATTAAATAAAGTATTTTTTTTTTCCAATACGTGTTAATTTGAATGACTTACAAATCAAGTAACACAAAGTCTAAATATTTTTTACAAATAAAAAATAGTTAATAAGAATAACTTTTATTTCAACTTATATTTTTTATCCACCGATAAAATCATATCATTAATTTAAGAAAAATGATAAATATACTCTCATGATGTACATAGTTTATTAGGGAAAAAAAAAGAATTTGAAAGAATAAAAACAATGGTTGTCCATTATGTTTTTAGATCGAATAGAATGTAACACAAGTAGAAAATGAAGTAGTATAGAAAGTGAAAGTATATGTTGTATTACTCTTAATTTAAATGAGTTTTAAAAGTATTCAAAACAAAGAGATCGATAACGTAACCCATAGTGATCAGCTGACATCTTCTTGATTTGAATCGGTTTAGACAATTTAAACTAATTTCTTCTTACTTTCAAAAAAAAAACTAATTTCTTCTTGTTCAGTGACCAGGACTATGTGGTCTAATGGTACCCGGGTTGGACTTTCATTTGGAAGATTATGAGTTCGAGCCTCAGTGGAGACGTTATTGGCTCTTTGTGTTTCAGTAGGTTGAGAAAGTATATGAAAAAGTCACGTGGTTCAGTAGGCAAACCAAGAAAACTTATGGTAGAAGAAAAAACCAAAAATCTTTAATATGGTCTCATACTCTCACCTACCTCCTTCTATAAATACTCATATTCCCTTCAATGATTCCATCGCCCACCATCTCCTTAAACCACCCATCTCTTTCGCCATCATCAATGGAGAACTCTTGGATTTTCTTGGCCTTAACATGCCTAGCAACGCTAGCTCTTCTCTCCAAACTTTTCTCCCGGCGACAGCCGTCTCGCCGGAAACTTCCACCGGGGCCAAAACCGTGGCCCATAATCGGCAACTTAGACCTCCTCGGCCCCATCCCACACCAATCTTTCCACTCTCTCTCCAAGAAATACGGAGACTTGATGCTCCTGAAATTCGGCTCCCGGCCGGTGGTGGTGGCGTCGTCGCCGGAAATGGCGAAGCAGTTCCTGAAAACCCACGACGCCGTCTTCGCGTCCCGGCCGCTGCATGCCGGCGGCAAGTACACCAGCTACAACTACCGCGACATGACGTGGGCCCCGTACGGCCCCTACTGGCGCCAGGCGCGCCGGATTTACCTCAACGAGGTTTTCAGTACGAGGAGGCTGGATTCCTTCGAGCACATTCGCGTCGACGAACGCCGCTCTTTCCTCAACACCCTCAAATCTCTCTCCACCGGAAACCCAGTTTTCCTGAAAGATCATCTTTCCCGGTTCAGTTTATGTACCATGAGCAGAATGGTGCTAAGCAACAAGTACTTCACCGAAACCGAAGCAGATCATCAGGGATCTGTAGTGGCTGAGAGTTTTCCTCGTCACCTAGCAGTTAGGTTGGAGGATTTGCAGCATCTGGTGGACCAGTGGTTTCTGCTTAATGGAGCTTTTAACCTCGAGGATTGGCTTCCATGGCTGAGCTTCTTGGACCTGCAAGGCTATGTGAAGCAGATGAAGGAGCTGAATAGGGTTTTTGACAGGTTCCACAACATTGTTCTTGATGATCACATGGCTAAGAAGAAAGAGGTTGCAGAGAAGAAGGATGGGTTTGTTCCTAAGGATATGGTGGATGTGTTGTTGCAAATGGCTGAGGATCCTAATCTTGAAGTTAAACTCACCAAAGATTGTGTCAAAGGGCTTGTGCAGGTAAAAACTGATTAAACTTTTAGTCGAGACAAAACAAACAGTTCTCTCGATCAGTCTTACTTTTTGTGACTGTGGAACTAACAAACTGTTAGTTGAGACAAAACACATACAGTTCTCGATCTGTCTTGCTTTTTGCGATTGTGGGACTAAAAAAATTCTAGTTGATACAAAACACATATAGTTCTCGATCTGTCTTGCTTTTTGTCACTTTGGGACTAAAAAAATTCTAGTTGATACAAAACACATACAGTTCTCGATCTGTCTTGCTTTTTGCTACTGTGAAACTAACAAACTTCTAGTTGAGACAAAACACATACGTACAGTTCTTGATCTGTCTTGCTTTTTGTGATTGTGGGACTAACAAGGTTTTTTTGTACATGAAAACAGGACTTGTTGACTGGGGGGACTGATAGCTTGACAGCAGCAGTGGGGTGGGCATTTCAAGAACTCATGAGGAAACCAGACATCATCCCAAAGGCGACCGAGGAACTAGACCGAGAGATCGGGAAGGAAAGGTGGGTAGACGAGAGCGACTGCTCTCGGCTACCCTACATCGAAGCTATCATCAAAGAAACATTCAGGCTACACCCACTGGGCACCATGCTCGCGCCACATTACGCCATGGAAGACTGCAATGTGGCGGGCTATGACATCGCGAAAGGCACAACTGTCCTAGTTAACGCCTGGTCGATAGGGAGAGATCCTAGGTTCTGGGACGATGCAGAAGAGTTTAAGCCCGAGAGGTTCCTGGACAACAATATCGACATGGATGGACAGAATTTCGCTTTCTTGCCATTTGGGTCCGGGAGGAGAAGGTGCCCCGGGTACAGCCTCGGGCTTAGAGTTGTCCGAGCAACACTAGCTAACATGTTACATGGATTCACCTGGAAATTACCCCCAGGCATGAAGCCAGAAGACATATCCATGGAAGAACACTATGGACTCACCACACATCCCCGGTTTCCAATCCCCCTCATCATGGAACCGCGCCTCCCTTCACATCTCTACTCGCAATCCTAATCCTATATATCCTCCGCTTAAACTTCCAATTGAAACGAAACACATCCTTAATATAGTCAAAAATCAAGTAGAGAACATCCAGGATCAGGACAGCATATATACATTAAACATATGTTATCTGTCACTTCTTGTGCTGTGTGTTTTCATAGGAGTGGTTGATCCAATAACTTCTAGCCATATTTTTGACCACTTCAAAGCAGTTTCTAACAACCACAGAGTTGACTAATGATGTATTAGTGAATCTGCATATGATTAATTAGTTCTGTGGAACCAAGTCTAAATTGTCTTAATTTATACCTCAAATTTCTGGAATCTGAACCAATAATCTTTCAGTTCTAGTATGAACACCCTCTAGTAATTGTTGCAGCCTTCTGGGCTACTATTTCAGTGACTTTCACACAACAAAACAAGAAAGCAAGATTAAAAATTCGACTCCTAGCCAGGGCAGCCTATTGGTTTTCTTGGTTTGAGCTGGTCAAATATGGACAACCAAGCTAATTTACCTCCCTGTCCCTGTGGTCCTTTACCGGTTAGGGTTACAAAACGGGGTTTACCCAGTACACAACTACAAGTTTCCCTCGTCGTCCAAAAAAAAAAAAAAAAAAAAAAAAAAAGAGATTTTATTATTATTCAAGAAAACGATAAAATTACAGACCAGAGTACATTATTCAAGTGTTAGCAACAGCAGCAAGAGCCTGTTACATGAAAGTACTATGATTTTGAGTTTTCCATTTGTTTGATTCTTGAAACATTCAATCATTTGCAACACAGATGATCTGTTTCCCGACATTTCTTCCATGAAAAATGCCAACAAAAGCAGATGCAGCATTTTCTAATCCTTGAGCAATGTCTTCAACAAAGACTAGCTTCTGCTCCCTTATGTTCTTGATGGCAAACTCGAGGTAATCTGGATATTTCGCCCTGTGGTCGAGTTCAGAAAAGCCTTTCATCTCCACTCGCTTCGTTATCAGGCAAAACAAGTTGCGAATCCCGTCTGGTTCAGCGAGGTTGTACTGTGAAATCATCCCGGAAACAACAACTCGCCCATAAAGGTTCATGTGCAGTAGCACCTGGTTCAGCATGTCCCCTCCAACGTTGTCGAAGAACACATCGATCCCCTTGGGAAAATGCCTTTTCGAGGAAAACCAAACAACACATGTCAGTTATGTTTTTTGGTCAGACCATGAAGCGTTCTAAGTAGGCCCTAACTATAAAAGCCACCCTTAAGCCCGTACCCCACGTCAGTCCCAGAAAACTATGATGTTTAAGGATTCAATCTGCTAGTGTTGTCACAATTTTTATAACCAAAAAACAAACCTTTTCAACACTGCAGAATCATGCCCGTCTTTATAGTTGAAAGCATCATCGAATCCAAACTTGCCCTTAACGAGATCAACCTGCAGAAGAACAAAAAAAAAACACTTTCAAGAAACGCCCAAACTTTCAAGAATCCGAACTTTCCCTTAACCGATGTACCTTTTCATTAGTACTAGCACTTCCAACCACACGACAGCCCATCATTTTCGCGAACTGTCCAACGAGCTGGCCAACTCCTCCTGCAGCCGACGTGACATAAACGACATCCCCTTCCTTAGCCGAGGAATAGTTATAAAACCCGATATAGGCTGCAAGTCCCGGCATACCTTCACATCAATGGGCATGGTCAAATTGTGCGTTTCATTAGCCTACAAACTAAATTTATTCAATAGAAGCATAGAAAGAATGCATCATCACAGCGTAAATTACCAATCTTGGGTACCTAAGATTCCAGCATAGTATGACAGAGGCACATCTGTGTATTTGATCTTGAAATGGCCATCTAGGTTAAGAATCATGCTGTATTCTTCCCAACCAGTCAGTCCCCAGACATAATCACCTTCCTTAAACTCGGGATTCTCGGATTTTACAACTTTAGATACTCCAAGCCCAATAATCACCTGAGGTTGTGTACAAAAACATGTTCACACAATCAAATAGAGCACACAGACTTGGTAACCACAAGGTTACACGTTCAACTTCCAAGAACGACTTATTAGCCTTCTTGATTTGAGCCGGTCAGTTGAACAACTTAGACTGGTTTAACTTAAACTGGTTTATCTCCTTGTGATCCTTTGGCGACTAGTGTTACAAGACAGGATTTACTTAATACACACCACGGGCATTGACTGTTCGTTTCCCTCATCACTCAAATAGAGCACACAGATCTAAACACCTAGCGTTATTTAGGGTTACAAGACGGAATTTAACCCGTAGTTACCCTCGGATAGTGACTGCGGATTCCTGTCACTCAAATAGAGCACACAGATCTTAACACCCAAAGGTGATAACTTTATACTGTACTGATATAAATTGTCTGTCTTATAATGGATGGCCAAGAACTGATAAGCATTATCTAGTGAAAGTACATTAAAGAAGAAGAAGGAGAGACTTACAGAGGCAGGGGTGAAGGAGAGGAGCAAAGAGACATCCTTGGATTCATGGGCTGACATGCGGTGGCGCATGTAAGGGTCACATCCCAAATAAAGATTCTTCACAAACACAGCATTTGATCCTCTGGGAATATCAGAGCTCACAGATGTTGTTCTCACCTCAAAATCACTCTCTTTTGGGTATCCTGTGACATAGTTCTTTAACACCACTTGCTTGTTGGGGAACAACATCCTAGGATTGCCCAGCCAACTGTCTGCTGTTCTTCAATTCTGTCTGTAACAATTGTATGCCTTCAAACTGGCTATGGGGGTGTTTGGTTTCTGTGGGTCTCAATCCCACACTCCAAAGAATTATTTGTCTAAGATTGTTTGTTTTCTCTTTACTTTTCCACTAAACTAATCAAGGGATAGCTTTGGGCCTAATCTTCCCAGTCAAACGACACCTAAATTGGGTGGGTGAGAGAGCTCCGCAGATAGTTCAAGTGGTCGACTAATTAAAGTGTTAGATTTTGACTAATGAAATGTACAAACAGGGTGCAGAACTTAGAATCATTTGAATAATAGTTAAAATTTACGTCCTATGAGCTTTTGACAAGTTTATAGAGTTTAAGATATAGTTCGACAAAATACCACAAAAATCTAATAATAAATATATCAATCATTATATCGTGGACCATGATCCATTTTGAGGAATGAATATTTATCGGTGATCTATAGTATAGATGTACTATTTGGACTTTTGGAGCTATATTGGTATTCCAATCCACCCAGCCTACCTTCACAGTTCCCCAGTTGTTATACCATGGACCAAGGTCCACCTTGTAAGGTAGACCCTGATCTTAAATTGTGTATTTTTAGTATTGAAATTGTAAACATTTAGAATATAAATTGTGTTTCTAAGTTTTGAGATTTGTGAATACAATACAAGATCATCACTAATTGTGAATTTTTAAAATGTAAATTGTGAATATCTAGTATGTAAATTGTGTAACTTTGGACTCGGGTTCACCTTGGGTGTAAAATAATTTGCCCACAATTCCCAGAGTATAAATTATTATTATCATTTCATTATAAAACAATAAATAAGCACTTGCAGGCTGCAGCCTCCAGACTCTGAGAGAAAGAAGACATATATAAGTTACTGCACTGAGTAAAATGGGCCATGGCTATGAACAGGATCATTTGAATCTTTATAAACACAAATTTTCCAGATTTTTTACAGGAAGAAAATGGAAGAAGAAATGGATTTACATATAGTACACAAACACACATATATCACACCACCAACAACTAACTACTCTCAGTTTATTCTTTCTATCTATCTGTTTTCTCAAGTTCCCCGGTTAGTACTAATCCAGACTCAATATATTTGCTCCTCAACTAGACCAAATAGCATAAGGTTGGTTTGTTTCCCTCGTGATGAATCAATCTCGTCTACTGGTGTTGAACATGTACATTCTGTGACCGTTTCAGTGGGGCATGTAACTGTATCGGTTCTATTTCCTTTGGACCTTGTCTAAGCGAGCTTTCCGGACTGCTTGTTGAATATGTCTCTCGTGTTCCTTGAGCATTTCTTCCATGTTTCCTGCTCCGGGCACCAACGGGCCCGAGTAAAGAATTCTGTTTCTCGTTGCCTGATACACATGGGATGAAGTCTAATTCAAGAAAGATTGAAAAAGGACTTGTCTGTGCTAGTGTTCGTTCTCGTTTACAGTTTAGATAATAGATCATGTATCGTAACTGTTAAAAGACGGTGCAGGTAGTTTCTAGAAAGGTGAATTTTTTATCGGTAAAAAAGAACAAAAAAATGTAGTTAAGATCATGCAGAATGTGAAGAGCAAAACGCAAAGCAAGTATAGCAGAAGAGTGCTTAGGATTTACTTTAGAATCCCGGGTTGATCTCCTTCCATCTCGTGACAGTAATGATACGTGTGGAGCCATTTGAGAGGTCTGACCCGAGCTCCCCTGTGCTTTGTGGTTCCAGGTGAAATTAGAGGCCGCATTGGGATGAATGACCGAAGTAGAATGAGAGAACCCGTTCCTATATTTCCCTGGTGGTGGCTCGATAGGGAAACCTTCTCCACCGTCCTCCCCGTATCTGACACTGATGCTTTTATTTGGCTGCCTCTGCAATGTCCAAACATGTCAGCCATAGTAGCTGTAGTGTTATGGTATTTAAATGAAACAATGAAGCAGCAGCAATTGCACGCAAAATGCGAGAACATAGACCTGTCGTCCTTGAGTAGCTAATTTCATAGGCGTTATCTTTGATCCTCGTGAAGTCTTCCTTAAAAATTCACCCCCTTTCACGCTCCCACATTTTTTACTGAGATTAACACCAAAAAAAAAAAATGGATACGTGAGAAGCAGAAGGTAGAGAGGCACAGAGTTCATCGAAAAAAAAAGAAGGATTCTTTGGTGTTTGAACTATCATGTAATAATGTTTTGGAATGTATCATGTATAACGTACTATTTAAAGTTGCGGGCTCATATATGCATGCATCACAATATAAATGTTAAAAGGAACCGCAGTCTCGAGTGCAAAGAAGGACAGGCAATAGTACAGTTCCCAAAATTATATCCACGAAATAAGATAAGAACCACGCAAGGCATACCTTCGTGCCTCTTGATTGATCCTTGCGTCGAATTCCTTGCTGGGAGAATATTTGGGTAAAGCTGATGGATCACTAGGCAGGGGTTTCATGGTGAAGAACTGAACAAAAAACATTGTAGTTATTAATAAGGTTTTGGGGTGCGGTTCCTCAGCAGCAATCAAGCCAAAAAGTGTAGGAAGGGCGTGTAAAAAGCATGTTTTAAGACAAATAAATTTTCCCAACTCAGACTGCTTAATCTGATGTGATTTAGCTACCGAGAGACGCAGTTGTTTTTCGGGGGAGAGGACTCACAGAAATTGAAAAAACGAAAGAAATGATCCAAGCCGGAAAAATTACTTTACTATTGAGTGCAGAAGCAGCTGTACCACGCTTATCTGGTTCTACTGAAAGTAGGATGTCAATGAGCGCCAAAGCAGAACGAGGGAAGTCCTTGAAAGTTTCAATGACACGTCGTCTGTATGGTTTTTGCGGTCTAAAAGTAGTGGCATGAGGCAATCTCGAGTTTTGCCAGTATTCCTCCTCGGGTGAACCACAAAGCTTGAAAATTTTATGCATTTGCTCTACCTGCGCATAGAGTAATGGTCAATGTGGTTACCAATTCGTTTTACTATACAGATTCAAGCTCTCGAAGGAACCTACCTCTGTTGTTCCAGGCATGATAGGCTTTCCCGCAAACAATTCTGCAATGATGCAACCAACGCTCCACATATCAATCGCCACTCCATATGCTGTCGCCCCGAGCAAAAGCTCTGGAGCCCTATACCACAGAGTTACTACTCGGCTAGTTAATGGCTGCTGCTTTTGATCAGGCTGAAAATAATTGGCCAGACCGAAGTCTCCAATCTTCAGAATACCGTTATTGTCAACTAGAAGATTTGCGCCCTTGATGTCCCGGTGAAGTACACCACGACCATGGCAATGTTCTAGTCCCGAAAGCAATTGTTGCATATAACATTTGATCTGCCACGAGTGTAGGATGTATCACATAAGTATAAACAGCACGTGCAAGTCAAAATCTACTGATAATAGTTTCTAAAGCATAAAAAGCCAAGAGCATACCTGTGGCTCGGTGAACTTGGATCCATGTGCTGTTGAAAGTCCACTAAGGTCGTGCTTCATGTAATCGAAAACTAGTGATAAGTGGCCAGATATCCTCGATATGGCCATACCCTTGAGTTTTAGGACGTTCGGATGATCAAGTCTACGCAGAATGCATATTTCCCTTGCCATGAACCGAACACTCTCCGGGTCCATATTCACGAATTTTACTTTCTTCAAGGCAACAATTTCATCGTTCGTAATGTCTCTCGCCTTGAAGACAGTACTATATGTCCCTTGGCCAATCTGCATAAAGAGAGTCAAGTTAAGAGATCAGTTTTTCTTTTTCAATTTCATAACGATAGAGAAAGCTTAAACTAGTTTCTTCAAACGGTTTCAATACATATACATCACAAACACACTTCATTCTATGAGACATTCTGTGTATCAATGCTTGGCCCAATAGAACAACAAGAGTGCGGTAAAGAAAGTATTCAATAGGAAGGTTATCCCCATCTTTACAATCTCTTTGTTGAGTTCATCAGTAGTCCTAACGAAAGAAGATAGTAAGTTCATAACTATATCTAGACGACGAGTTCTTAATTTGCAAATAATAAGTTTCTACAAACTTTAAACTAAAACTTAAAATCAAGCGTTTACCACTACGCCAAAAGCTCTATAGCTAGTAACGATGCAGGGTGTTGAACTTGGCCCAACAATCCTCCTTGACTTGACCCTTTAGGCCTCCGCCCAACACTTAAAATTCCAAGGGTCGATATAACAATCGTTATAAGTTGGATATTAGTATATTACGATTAGAACAAGTCAACATCAACAAGAAGATAGTTGCTAGGCAGTGTAAAGAAACAGATGTTGAACTAACTTGTTCTACTTCCAAATACGATTCCGTGCTTCGAGGGACCCACCCCTGAATCGCCTCTGCAGCAACCGAACTTAGCCAATGTGGCCATCCCGCAGCAGACTGTTCGCCCTTTGCAGCGTGTGGCATGCTCACAACTCCGGGTGTTGAACACGACAGCACTCCTTTAGCTCCAGAATCCTTCGTGGACCCCTTCCGGTGATGCAAACCGCTTTGTGATCCTGGCTTACGTTTCGGGAGCACACACCCTTCCGATGTACAAACTACTGCACTAACCCCCTCTCCACCCGAGGGAGAGGCTGCCCGTACTGAAGACCTATTCGACTCTCTCCGCCTCCCTCCCTCATTGTCAATCGCATCATCTCTCGTTGCTGATGCCTTGGCACAAACGCAGCCCATCCTCTTATGAAACAATTCCTCTCGTCAATAACAGACGAGCATCAAATGCACCTAACCAACTTCTACAACCCGAAATTCTTCAAAATCGTTTTCTGCATGTTCAAGATCTCAAAGCAGTGATACCAACACAAAGGTTCATTATACTTCATATTTACTAAACCTCAAAATTTCCCCCAAACAGATTCTCGATCTTCCTAACTCTTTTCCACATTAAAAGAACACATCAATCTTCTTGACAAATCAATAAACTAGAGATAGAGCCTCCCTCAAATGCTACCCAGAGATATATAACATCCAAAGAACAATAAATAAGAAACAGATTCTCTCAAAAATCAGATTTTTATCCAAGATTGGGCCACCATGAATGAATTTCAAACATTCAACATCAAATGAAATCAACAATGAGTATATGATTCATCACATTACTATTCTGTATATCTATCTCTAATCCCTAGTAAAAGAATGAAACACAAATCCATTTTCAAGAATTCCAAAAATGATAGGCCACAAAAAGATAAAATTTTCAAAAACCCAGATCTTGATCAAGGATTACAACATATAATAACCCAAAATTACAGCACATATACCCAGAAACAATTGTATATATGTATACGTATCCTATGTTTTTTTTTTTTCTGTACTGATGCAAGAGCACTGGCAAGGTGGTGATAATGGGGGATGAATAACAAATTTCCCAGTGGTTCTCTTTTTGTTTTAGGATCTCACATTTTGAAATTTAATTATCTTTTATTGCCAAGCAAATATAGGTCTTTTTTTATTTTTTATTTTCCTGACAATAAATTGAAACATAGACAAATAACGGAATAATTGCAGCTGGAAGTTCCGCTTAATCAGGATTATTAATCATCATCCATATATACAACAATACAAAAGAATTATGTATATTATGTATATAAATAAATAAATAACAAGGAAAGGAACTAGACAGAGAGGGAGAAAAAGGATTGGATTCACCTAAAATTGTGCACTGCCATATCTCTTCAGATTTTGAAGGCTTATATAGTTTTGTGTGTGTGTGTGTGTGTATATATATATATATATATATATATATATATATATATATATATATATATATAGCTCCATTTTCTTTTTGGTTCTTGAGGGAGGTGGAGTGGCAGCAAGACAGTCAGCAGCTGGGCAGAAGCATGTGTATATATAGATGGGGTCCACTTTTCTCCTTTGTGCAACCTGGAGGACACGTAGACACACATACAATAGTTAACCTTCTAATTTTGCAATTACTTTTTTTTTTTTTTGCACTTCATAAGGTCTAATAAGACCTATGATTAGATTCTAATTCTAAGAGATGTTGTTCTAGTCGTATCGAACAAAAGAAGAGTCCTTAATTTCTCCTAAGATTGATTCATCGCAATGATAATCTATGCACCTATGTGACTCAGACTGGTAAGGACATAAGCTCATTTATTTCCTGTTTTCGTCACATGTCACATGTGAAATCTTTGTTATCGCTTTATTGAGCGATGATAGACTTATAGTTAATGAGAGTTGTTGATTTTTATTTCGAATCATCTTCCCCTCAAAGTCTACACAACTACTTCATAGTTCAATTTCATCCTTCACATTCGAAAACTCTATTTCTTTATACAAGTTCGAGACCTTCCCTAAGCCCCCAAAACTCGACAAATAAATTGTTTGCTATCCTAATTTTGACCAACGTTACCTAGCTTAATGATCCCAAACTCAATCCCCGACACTGGCCATCCCTATCCCCCAACTTCATAACCGCATTAATATTCAGCTTGAGTCCACCCTCATAAGAGAGTCTCATTTAATCCATCTTTAACCAATTTTTAAGATCACATTTTATTTAACCAACAAAACGCCCGTTTACTCGGTATAATGAGTAGCAGATGTAACCACATATCTTAATTGTATGATTACATTAACCATTTGTTTACTCACGGTAATAAATAGTTGAATTGTATTTTAAATTTTCTCATTTTTTAGTAAATATATTAATTCGAGTATTTTTTTTTTTGAAAATATATTAATTCGAGTATAATTATATTATAAGCAATTAAATTGAGTTTCACCAAAAAAAAAAAAAAAATTGAGTTAAAACTAAGTTGAAAAAGTTGTGTTGATAAATTATGGCCGACAAAATGGCCCAAGTTGAAGCAATATCCAATTAGGAATTAGGTACCGGAGACTAGAGTAGAGGTGGCTACATTTAAGTAATTAAGTTGGGGCTGTTTAGTTGGACGTAATTAAGTCGTAATTTAATTGTAATTCAGCACAACTCACAATTACGCTGTTTGGTTAGAGGGAATTGCAATTCCCTCAAAATTCTGAATTGTAATTTATACCACCTTCCCTATGAATTATAATTCGACGAATTGAAGGGAGAAGAAAAATAGGTTAATGACCATTTTACCCTCACTCTTCTTTTGTCTTATTAGCTGTCTTATTATTATTATTATTATTATTATTATTATTATTATTATTATGGCATTTCAGTCATTGTATCACTTATTCCCTTTCAATTCCATGCCTTATTACTGCATACCAAACACTGTAATTTGAATTCCTACTTTATTCTCACCTTATTATTTTCCCACCGAATTACAATTCCTTTCTCCCATAATTTCTTACTTTCAACCAAACACCCCCTTAATTCAAAGGCATGGAGCGATTGACCACCTCAAAGCTCAAACATATCATACCTCCGTACAAATGTACAATATATATATATATACACACACACACACACACACACACACACACACACACACGCACACACAAGGAAACTGATCTCAATATCTGTAAATATACAGCGGATAAAGTTTATTTTTATATAATAGCCCCCAAAACACTCGTAAAATGTAAACAGGTATGTTAACTAGGAAAGAAAATTCTTCAAAAAAAAAAAAAAAAAAGGAAAGAAAATTCTTACCGATAAAATTCATCCACTTTCTATCTGTTGATTGTTAGTTAGTTTGTTTATTTTTTTGTTTGAGTGTTTGATAGGATGAAATTGTAATTCTATTCCTACCAAACTCTATGAAATTGCAATTTAATGATTTGGTTAGAGGAAATTGTAATTCCAATGTGAATTACCATTTTATTATTATTATTTATTATTATTATTATTATTATTATTATTATTATTATTATTATATATACAAGAATATTTTAGTTTTTATTCACTTCTTTCTTTACACTTCTCAATCATTATATTTATATTTACCAAATTATGTAATTAAAATTCTCATTTTATTTTTTACATAGGACGAAAACAATCTTTATTTGCTGACATAAAATCTGGAAAGCGTCAAAATAGGAATAGGAATAGGATTTAAACTTAAAACTTGGGTCCAATTATCCATACTACATTAAATGTGCGCACCGACCATGTTGATTTTAACCCCCACCGTCATTTGACCCCCTCAAACACCTCCTTTTTCCGTCTATTTATAACTGCATGTCGGTAGCACCGCCATAAACTAATTCGGATACAACCTGTAACACTCAATATTTTTACAATTATATTGTTCATTCATTTACTAATTATCCATAATTGTTAAGTTATAAAAAATAGTAAATTTTCAATATTGTAGAAGAAAATTGCATTAAAAAAAAAATTAAGAGTGTGTTTGGTTGGTGGGTTTTGCCCATAGGAATGGGTATGAAAGTTATTGTTGTTGTTTGGTTGATAAGTTTTTAGAACACTGTTATGGGTTTTGAATACCCCATCAATTGAAAAACTCATACCCAAATAAAATAAGGGTTTCATTCCCTTATTCATTCTCAAGCACTGCTATTAGTAACCATTTTCATTTCACCCTACTACCAAACATGTTAAATACTTTCACCAAAACCCATTACCATTACCAAGTATTTGATACCCATTCCGATTCCGATTCCTATGTACGAACCAAACACACCCTAAATATTCATTTTAAAAGATTCAACTAAAAATTTAAAAAGACATTTCTGCCAAATTTAACATTTTTCATTAATGAAAGTTAATATTTTTCTTTGACTCTATTTTATTTGAATACTTAAACATGAAAATCTAGAAAAGTGAGTTTAAAAAGTCAATTTTTTTTTTTAGTTTTCAAATGAACCCTAAGTGATATATAAATGACTAAACTTCAATCATGTGTAATAATTCAAAATCATATGTGAAAGGTAAACTGCACTAGAAACATAATGTGCAACCAAATCTACCGAGATGATAATGACAAGAATCGAATTGACAACTGATATGAAAATCATTCTTTCAAAAGGCTAAATCCCAACCCTAAGGGCCCCTGACCCGACAGAACATTTGAGATGATGTAAATCAGGGTAACTCAACTGAAAGATATGAAAATCATGATTTACTCATTCGTGACTCGTTCACTTTTTTTGGTCCCTTTGACATTATTTGAATTATACAAATTGTTTATTCCTCTCTCATATGAATTATATAAAGGCTTTGTTTACCCCTTGCCGCTTTCTACCACTGTCCACTCAGGCACTCGGTTAAACTATTCGCATTCTTGAAAGGGATGCAAATTTAAGTCTAACATGGCAGTCACACCAATATTATATATATATATATATATATATATATATATATATATATATATATATAGAGTTAATACTCAAAATCGTCCTCGACTATAGTGGTTTTTCTCAATTTCGTTCTAAACGACTTTGGTGACCTAATATCGTCCCAGACTTTTGTATTTCGCTCAATTTAGTCCCAGATTTTTGTGTTTTTGCTCAATTTAGTCCATCATTTGTTATTCTGTCCATTTGGTGTTAAATAAATAGACAATTCAGTAATTTTAATATTGGCATCTCTTTACTCATAGACATGTGAACTGTGAAATCTTTTTTTTTTTTTTTTTACGAATTACTCCAGAATTACTCCTAAAACTGCGAATATAAAATTTGATTTGCAGGTCCGGAAGTAAATTTGGGTGTAATTCGTACAAGAAAGAGGAATTTCGCACTTCACAAGTTGAAAGTAAAAAGAGATCAATATTGACATTACTGAATTGTCCCTTAATTTAACACCAATTTGACGGAATAACAAATGGAGGACTAAATTGAGCGAAACACAAAAGTCTGGGACGATATTAGGTCACCAAAGTCGTTTAGGACGAAATTGAGAAAAATCACTATAGTTGAGGATGATTTTGGGTATTAACTCTATATATATATATATATATGGTAATATTGGTTCCTGAGCGGTTGACCATCTCAAGTATGGTTGTTAAGGTGCGATGTTTGTGTACTTAAGGTGCGTGATTTGTATGTTTAAGGTGCCGTAAGTTGTTGAAACTTAAAATTGTTAAGGTGCGTGATTTGTATGCTTAAGGTGCCGTGAGTTGCTGTTGAAACTTAAGGTGCGTCATTTTAAAATCTTAAGTGCATGGTTTATATACTTAAGGTGCAACCTAAAGTTTTAGGTGCGCGTGATTTGTATTCTTAAAGTGCTTTGTAAGGGGTGTGGTTTGTGTACTTAAGGTGCGCCATTTTAATGCTTAAGATATGTCAACCGCACGGGAATCCTTCTCTGACCTAAACCCTTATATATATATATATATATATATATATATATACTAACACTTTGTTTTTAACAATAAACAATTATTTTAGATTTCTACAGTGTGTTTTCCTTTAAAAATATAATAAAACACGTGCACTAAAATTGACCAACCGGTGTCAACACGTTTTTTATGACCATTATAGAAACCTTGATTGATCACATTCCAATAAATAAATAATTAAATAGAGTTACAATAAATATTTAAAAAAAAAAAAGAAAGCAAAACACATAAAAAGATTTTTTTTTTAAAAAAAGTAAGTGATAGTGTTAAAAAAAAAACACTTATTATAGTTTTTGCTATGTTATATACTCCATTTTCTTTATATTATATTAATAAAGTAATATTATTATTTTATCATATATGAAATGCCTTGACCTTTAGAAAGACTTTTGATATATACTATTTACTCTGGTGTTCATACTTAACAAAAAGAAATAAATAAATAAACATGAGATTCTTTTTTGTCCCAAAATAAATGATTTACTGAAAATAATTCTTCTTGAAGATTATAAGTTGAATTCTTACTAACACCTTATTGGTAGAATCTATCGTACGGGATGTTGTCGATTTCTCCCTCACGCAACAAAGAAATCATTTTTTTAACGTTGTTTTTCCACCAATCAATGCAACTATAATACTCTAGTACTTTTCAATTACGGTACACATCGATCCAACTATATATACACTTCTGCGCGCAATAATCTTAACCCTAACTATAGTATAACCTGAGAAGTCCAATTCAATTAAAATCGTATATATAGTGGAATTTAAACTTCCATCTTAGCATTAAAAGCGAGTCTAAAGTACAAGAATTAATGAAAACTACTTACTAGTACTATACAATGTTGTTTGGATCGGAGTAATGCCCTGCCCTGCCCTCAATGTCAAATATCACTAAAGTGAAACAAATTAAAAGCCACAAATTAATGTCAAATGAATTGCAAGTTGCATGTTTGGCCTTTGCCCCCTGGAATGGATTGAATATTACTACTACTACTAGGTTGTCTTCTTTGACTGTCTAAAGTCTTCATGTGATGACATACATAATGACGTAATAAACCGGCATCCATAGCCCACCACCTTGAGCTTGACAAATCAAAAAAAAAAAAAAAAAAAAAAGAGTATTTTTTTGGCCCATGCTCTCATGTTGTCAAAGGTCAAACCTTAAGTTATTTTATCCATTTTTCTTGCAAGTAGGCCTATTTGACTTTCTCAATCTTCAACCTATAAATAGCCATAAATCTTCTTAGACTTTACTACAGCCACTCCATCATCATCGTTCTTCATCCCATTCAGCCTTTTTCCGGCAATTTTAGGTTGTCTTTCCATATTTTAGTTCCTACGAAACTCGTAATTGCTATTTGAAGATATAACGGAGTAAATTCAGTTTTTCAGACACAACAAATGGCAAGGAGATAAATCAGTTTTCGGTCAAATCAACCACAAGAAGATAAATCAGCCATTGTCTACTGATCGATTCAAATTAATAAGATCAATAGGCGACTGTGCAGAAAGTCAAACTTGTAATATTTCAATTACTAAGTCAAAAGTAGTTTGACCAATTTGATTGGAATTACGCGGTGGAAATGAGCAGCGCCGGAGGGGAGGAGTCGCAGAGGAGATACAGAGGCGTTCGCCGCCGGAAATGGGGGAAATGGGTGTCGGAGATACGGGTTCCGGGCACCCAGGACCGGCTTTGGCTGGGAACCTACGCCACCCCGGAGGCCGCCGCGGTGGCGCACGATATCGCGTCTGTTTGCCTGAGAGAAACGGCGTCGTTGGACAAGCTAAATTTTCCGACTCTGATGCCGCCGGCCGGCGTCGGACGGGGGATGTCGCCGCGGTCGGTGCAGAAGGTCGCCTCCGACGCCGGCATGGCCGTCGACGCGCAGCAACACCTCCTGCTACATCCGCCGCAAGCGGTGGAGTTTAGTGGCGGAGGGGAGAATAGATGGGGTGGTGGCGAGGCGGCGGAAGAGGTTTTCCGGTGGGCGGAGAGGCCGTGTTGTTCATCATCGCGAGAAGGAAGCGGAATTAGTGAAGAAGCTCAAGCTTTGAGTATTTCAGTTGATGATTATTTATTTTAGAAGTTAATTACAAGTTAAATAATTTTAATTTCTTATTTGAAATTTTGAATTATAATATATATACTCATACATGAAGGAAATTCGCGGTCGATTGATGTAAAAGCATGCCAAGTTGACTAGAAAGTCACATGTTTAATCCCCAATTCCTTCATATATGTATTCAAGATTTACATCTATTAAAAAAAAATTATGTGTCTGCAAAATTTATACTTATAAACATAAATTTTGTACTTAAATCAAATTTGAAAAATAAATAAATATATAACATGTTATTGTGCCTTGTGTTATACCTAAGGTTTTCACCGTTGAACACAGTAACTAATCTCATTGTTGAATTGCAGGCACCTCTTTTGGGTGGAACAACTGATATGGAGATTTAAAGATTGTACCTTGTGTTATATTTTTGTATTTTTTGTTATGAAATTCTATACTTTATAAGAATAAATTTTGTATCGTTTTGATCCAGGGTCCAAATATAAATTGCCATGGAATCTATTCTAAAAACAAACAATATTGATGGTCAATAGTTATGCTGTGAAATTGTGTTCACCATGCGTATGGTGAACACGGGATAAATCCATAATTTCTATAAAGTAGATTCATAATTTCTACAGTTTAAAAATTATAGATTTATCCACATGTTCACCATGCGCATGGTGAGCACGTTTCCTTAATGGGCCTATTAATTTGCGATTAATGGCATGTTAATCCAAAACATCCTTAATGGGCCTATTAATCCAAAACATCCTTAACGGGCCTAGTATCCAAAACAACCTTAATGGGTTTAAGACTAAACCCTCCAAAACGACCAAAACCCTCTCCATTTTCACTTTCTTCTTTACTCTCTCTTCCACTTCTCTCTCTCTCTCTCTGGTCTTAAACAATGCTCTCTCGCTTCATCTCCAGATCATCATCACATCTCCGATTACTCACCCAAATCTCATCCAATACCCGTTTTCCCGACCCGAAAACCCTCCTTCCCCGCTCCCCAATCTCTCCACCCACCCCCGTTTTCGTCCCCAGGACCTTCCAATTCTTCTCCACAAACAACAATGGCGAATCTCCGCCCTCTGGGCCCTCCGATTTCTGGAAGCTCTCCTCAGAAACGCAATCCGTGTTCTCGGAGGACATTGAGGGAGCCGAAACAACGCCACCGGATGATACCCCTTCGTTGAGGGATTGGGAGGGGGAGGGCGACGCGTTGCCGGAGAAGGCTAGTGGAATGGCGGCGGGTGGCGGCGGCGGGAAGGACCATGAATGGCCGACGGCGGCGGGGTACGAGGCGTGGAGCTCATTGGTGGATGAGGGCGGGGAGAGAGTGTTCGATATAGGGGAAGAAGAAGAAGAAGAGCAGCAAGAGATTGTGAGTTTTAACGCGGAGGAGGAGGAGAGGTTGAAGAAAGAGAAGATGGAGGAGGAAAAGCGGCTTGAGTTGGAAGAGAAAGCCCTCACTCCTATTCTCAAAGGTAATTAATTTAGCTTCTTTCTCATTATGTATATATATGATTGTTATTAAAGACTCCAATTTTTTAAGCTTTACAATATGTAACCATGGTAAGAGTTATGAATTTTAGATGCTTAAATGCTTGATATTGCAAGAATCACATTTGGTATTCTGTAGTTGTTTGCTGAACTGAAAAAGTAGTGGTCTTGCTAGGCTATCCAGAAAGGTTATGGGAAATGCCATACTTTTCGAGCTAAATGACACTTTAGAGGTGATTTATACATTGTGCTGGTAGTTTATTCAGTCAGTGATACTTTTCGGGTTGGGAACTTCGCGTTATATATTGAATGCAGTAGCCAATCCTACGTCTATTCTGCTCATATTTCTTGAATATGATATACTGTGTGAAGAAGGTGCCCTTGACCCGCAACAGGTAGAGGAGGGTTTATTCAATATTTCAATCGCATAGTTTGTGCTCCTAGGGCCTTTGGGGGTGTTGGTAAATGGCTGTTAGTTGATAACTGTTAGCTGATTGGATTAGTGGGTTTGACTAGTTGATAACATTAGCTGATTGTAGAAAAGTGTTTGGTAAATTAGATGTTAGCTGATAGCTGATTACTTTCAAAATGACTTTTTCAAAAAGCTGATTGAAAAAACTACTTTGAGCAGCATTTTGGATCAATAAGTTGTTGCAAAAAGCTGATTAATCAAACACTCATATCGATTGTTTAATCAAGTCAAAGAGCTAATAGTGGTGAAATAAGTCAAAATTGGCTAATAGGCTAACTATTTTACCAAAAAGGGCCTTCATTTTTTTTTACATATAGCATATGTGGCGGGTGGGGGAAAAGAGACCCAAATCCATGGGACATGTGTAGAAAAGGGGCTTAGCCGGTCTCTAGGTTGACCCTATGCCCGACTTTTATTATGGTTTTAGTAATAGCTTAGCCCCCATTCCTACGCACACAAATGTTTCTATCAGCTTTATAATTCTTTATTGTGTCTTTGTATACAAAAATTAAACATATCAGGTTTAATAGCAGAATTCTTTGAGAAGGATGTCTGGTAGAGGGAATACATTTGTTGCTATATTGTTTTCGAGCATTTTTATCTAGGCTGCAACATAATCGAAGTTGAAAGCTTGGTATATAGTTTTTTCTTTCTCATAACAAGAGTGCCATGTGTATTTGCTTGCAGGTCCAAACCGTGCATTTGGTGATCTTATTGCAGCATCTGGAATCACTGACGATATGCTAGATAGTTTGATGGCTTTGAAAGACTTTGAAGGCATCAAAGGGTTGCCCCCTCTACACGAAATAGAAGATATGCGTTACCAAAGAAGTACGATGAAATCGAGTAGAGCAGAAATAGAACGACAGAAACAGGAGGAAGCTGCTAAGGCACGAGTACGACAAGTAGATGAAAAGGGAAGGTCTTATGGCACGGGAAGGAGGAAATGCAGTATTGCCCGAGTCTGGATTGAGCCCGGTGATGGAAAATTTGTGGTAAATGACAAAGAGTTTGACGTATATTTTCCAATGCTTGATCATCGGGCCAACCTTCTTCGACCTTTCTCTGAAACTAAGACTCTGGGTATGTGGGACGTCAAGTGTACTGTAAAAGGAGGCGGTGTCTCAGGTGAGTAGCCTATGCGCACTTTTTTTTATATGTTTATCATTTTATGTTGTCATAGTGCCATTAAAATTCAAATTCTTTGTATGCTTCCCTTTTCCAAATTTTGTTTGTCTAATCTTTGAGTAGAGATTAATTATGAAATATCTTTTTGTTAGATCATCTAATGTTTTATTTCGAGTTTGCCATTTCTATTATACTTCCCGTGAGTTGAAAAATGAAGTACTTGTGATTTGTGAAACAGGTCAAGTCGGTGCAATCCAATTGGGCGTCAGCAGGGCTTTGCAAAAATGGGATCCCGAGTTGCGCCCTCCACTCCGGAAAGGTATAAACACTCTTCTTTTACCTCGTTAGTTTGAGCTATGCTACTAAGTATATCATTGTGTTTATATTTACTTCACAATCAATATAGCCCGTATCATCTGTTACCATACATAATTAAGTACAATGCAAAACAATAGTTCCACGTGCATCAGTTTGTTTAGATTAGCGTTTAAAGGGGCGTCGTTTAATCATTTTCCCAGGTGGTTTCTTGACAAGAGACTCGAGAGTTGTTGAAAGGAAAAAGCCTGGTAGAGCGAAAGCGAGAAAGAGCTTCCAATGGGTTAAACGTTGAGCTTTACGGTCTGTTGTTTCAATATTGTATGGACATAAAGAACTCACTTTTGGATTCAGCAGTCAGTTTTCTTGTAGTTTTTTCGTGTGTTTCAATCTCCCTCATGGCATTGATACACTGATTTTTTTCTTTAAATTGAAGACAGTTAGCCAATTTATATATGTGGCCTCTGCATAGGTTGTCTTAAAAATTTTGTAATGTGCTTAGATTATATGGACAAGCGAATGATTTACAATAATGCAATTCCAGAGTTAAGGTTGTCTGTCTATAGTAATAAGACTCAAGCGTCTTCCTTGGTTATTTAGAAAGAATCTATTTTTTTTTACCATTACTACTGTTCTGTAAGCCATCTTAGGGGAGCAAAGTAACAAAATATCACAGTAAATCAATAAATTGTATAAGTAACTGACGGAAGTAAACAAAATTTTTGTAAGGAATAAGGGTCAATCAGATCACAATAAATTTATTATGAGAAAAAACCTAAAATCTACAACTAATAGTAGCCTTTTTAAATGATTATATTATTTTGTGCAATTCGATAACTTATTTAACCCTTATTCTTTTTTTTTTTTTAATAATTTGTATTGATATTTATATTGATCTTTTGTAAAGATCTCATAAAATTGACTAGTTAAGGTACATCTCAAAGACTATTGAAATATTTTTCATATACTTCCTACTATTGGTACAATTAATACTACAATGATAAAGCATGGAAATAAAAATTATGCAACATAAAATTATACGTTCATATATAAATTTAGGCTACGAAAGAAGCATAATTGCTAAAAGCAAAGGGAAAAAGGACAATTTGCAAACTTGATAGCAAACTAAAAAAAAAACATAATTTTAAGGCATTTCTGAGATTCTGATTCATCAAACTCCAGTATTAACTCAAAACATGAGCATTAAAAATCTCTAAACATTTGTCCACAATCCTTAATGGTAATAATAAAACAACAAAACTGCAAAACACAATGTTGGCGAAACATGGGAGGGAGCAGTTTGGCTTGAGAAACTCTCTAACGGTTAGCCTTGGCTACACGCTCAATCTCATCCTTCTTCTTGATTGCATAACTGCAAGTAAATGCCCAGAGAAAAGATTGTCATATTGTGCAGGAAAAACATCCACTTGTAGTAGAAATATAATGGTTGAAACAATCTAAAGGTGAATTTACCTGTTTGAGGATCCCTTGGCAGCATTAATGAGTTCATCAGCAAGGCATTCTGCTATTGTCTTTATGTTCCTAAAAGCACTTTGGCGGGCACCTGATGTCAATAGGTAGATAGCCTGGTTGACACGACGGAG